CGGCCTGGGCCCGACTCGTAGGCTCGACTAGCCCTCGGTCCCCGTGCCTCACATAAGGCTTTTTTTTCCCTCCCATTTCAGCTTAAGAAATTGTTTTTTTATTTTGGTCCCTTCTCTCTATTTTTTTTTATTTTGATCATTAAACTTTTCTTATCTTTGATTTTTATCTTTATCGAAATATTAAAATTTTATTATATGTAATTTTTATCCTTATAATAAAATATTTTTTTAACTTTTATTAAAAATTTATGTTTTTTTTTCTATTTTTAATATGTTTTTATTTTATTCATTAAGGTTTTCTCATATTTGATTTTTATCCTTGCTATACTCGAAACTAAATAAAGTTTACTATCCTAAGGTTGTTTTTTTCTTTTACTAAAATTTTCTTTTTATTCTAATTTTTGTTTTGTGATTTTTTCTTTGTTTTCATCATTAAATTTATTGATTTTTTTTTAATCTTTGTTTTGTAATTGTTTTTTATTTTGATGATTAAATTTTTTCCTACAAGGAACTATTTTTTACTTTTAGTAAAACTATAACCCCCACGAAACTCCCTAACCTAGCTATATGTACTCGAAATAATTATATCCGCATCTACCGAGTTTAAATTATAATTTATGTGTCATGTGCATGTTTGGTGAGGAGATATGAAAAAAAAATTTATTTTATTTCAGCATGCCATAAATGTGGATACTCGAAAAAAATATCTCCCGAAATATCCATAGTTATGTGAGTATAAATTATGTGTCATTTCTTTTATATTTATGGTGTGAAAATATTTAAGGTTTATGGAAGCGTTTATAGGAATACCCTTTTTGGGAATTTAATTAGTCATTATTTATTTTTTATAATGTTATATTTAAAAGACCATGCAAGTGAAAAACATGTCCCAAACAAAGGTGCATGACCAAAATTTAGGAACCAAATGGGTAAGAAAGTTGATTAGTTTAGTTAGTTTAGTTACCTTTTTAGTTTCCACATTTAGTTGTTGATTTGACACTAAATCTATCATTTTTTCTAAAAGTGTGACACCTAGCCCACTTGGATTTTTAAATTGCCAAGTTACCTCTCATTTAGTCCCATCATTTGACCTTTGTTTACCACATAATTTTGACACTTGGACTACTAATAAATGAAGGGAAAAGTGTGATATAGAAATGGAGGAAAGCTTGAAACTTTACCATTCTTTTTTTGACAAAATCGTAGCTTCCAAAGAAAGGAGAGAAAACATGATTGAGAGGGAGAGAAATGGCTTTGTGAAGGAAAGAAAGGAGAAAAAGAAAGGAAAGAAAGAAGGGAGAAAAAGAAGGAAAAGTCTAGGAAATCTTAAGCAAGCACATATCATTGTAAGTAGGTTTCATTTTAGCTTTACTTATGCCTTAAGTTCTATTTTACATGTTCAATTTATGGGTTATGTTTTAAACTATGTAATATGTTGTCATGGTAGCTTGTGTTGATGTTATGCTTTGATGTTTTGTAATGGATCTAGTATGCTTGTTTTGATGTGTATTTTATGGTGAACTTTATGTGGATTGTACAAGTATGATGATGGATGGATGGTAAGTTGATGTATCCTTATAAAATCCATGTGTGATGGATGTTTATACATGTGTGGATGGGTTTGGTTTGGTTATAACCATATGGGTTTGGAAGATGTGTGTGAATGAGCTTCGATTAAAACAAGATGGGCTTGGATTAAAATAAATAGACTTGGATTAAAACAAAATGGACTTGGATATTCGAAGGACACTTATTGGGCCTTGGTACTAAAATGGCCAAGTTGGATTTATGTTTATGGACCTAAAGATCTAGACTTCCAAAGTAACTCACTTAAGTATAATTTAGTACATTAGGATGGAAAGAAATGACTTCGGAACAAAAGACAAACCTTTGCCTTTTTGGATCCATTCGACCAAACACCCTAAAAATTGGGTTATGAGTTTCATTTATTCTATTTGAGAATAAATGGTTTAAATATACCTAAATAAGTATAAAATAAAGTGTAGAAAGGTTAGATTCTAATAAAAATGAAAATTTCGGTTTAGACTAGGAAACACTCGGTCTAAATCCGACTTTTTACAAATTGAGTCCTAAACACCCAACTCCATAAGAAATGGCCCAAAGACACCTAAATAAATATAAAATAAAATATGGAAAGGTAAGAGTGCAAGGCAATCATTAAGACTTAGATCCAATAAAAGAATAAAGTTCGACTTTGAAGACTCAAATTCGAGTTAGAAAGGAAAACCCACTACAAATACGCCCCGACGCATTCCTAGGACCTAAAAACCAACATGGATTAACTTTATGAGGCGGGTTTTGAATTCCTTGTGTGATCCCGATAGTATGGAATCAACGGGTTTAGTATCCATGACTTGGTAAAATGTGATTTATGATACATCACGTGTATTATATGCATATGAGAATGGATTAAATTAAGAAAAACCATTAAGTAAAAAACGATGAGGTTTGGTAACCGAATCGGATGGAATTGAATAGGTTTGGTAACTTATAGGAATAAATGGGTATTAGCGGTCTAATCGTGTGTGTACTCTAAGCCGTGTGCCTGCACTGTTAGATGATGGACTCCCGCTAATAGTGACTACAACGAGGGATAATTCGTCGTTAGCAGAAGGTGATTCGATAATCACCTGGATTAAAAAATAGAGTAGACTTACTAATACCCAAGGTACCTATAATTAAAATTAGATGAGTCCAAGTGAGGAAGTCGGAAAATCATTGCATATCAAGTGCATCATATTACTTACCGAGCTTCGACTTACTCGTATTTATTTCATGCCATGACGAGTAAAGGCGATAATAATGCCGATAATGAAGTCAGTCGGTTCTTCCTAGAAAAAGGCTCATGTGTGACACACGAACTATAAGATTCACTTTTACCCGTAATAATACCTACATTATTTTGTAACTTTTGTAATGATATTCAGTATATTTTGTATACATATGGGAGTAAATTTGAGACTTCGGTCTCTAAACTTTGACGCACCTAGCTACACCTTTTAGGTAATCTGCAAGCGAGTCGAGGCGCCACAAAAAGTTTTTGTTATATTTTGGTTTTTGTTTTATGATCTTTCATTTATTTTGATCATTAAACTTTTATTATATTTAATTATTATTCATTCTACATTAAAATTAAATACATTTTAACCATGCTAAGTTTTTTTTTGTTTTTAGTGAAAAAATTTTATGTTTTGATTCTTATTTTATTAATTTTTTTTATTTTGGTCATTAAAATTCTATAATGTTTACTTTTGTTCCTACCTTGTACATAATGAAATTTTTTTAGTCTTATTGTTTATAAGTATTTTTTATATGCTTTTAGTGAAAGTTTATTTATTTATTTTTATCCTTTTTATGATCTTTACTTTGTTTTAATCATTTAATTTTTATTGTGTGTAATTTTATCTTTATTTTCTTTGTCAAATTCTCGATTTGACAAAGCTTTTTGTCTTTTTTTTTAGTGATCTCTCTGTCTCATTAAAAAATTACAAATGAATAATATATGGTAAATATTAATCATCAAAAATTCAAAAAACTACTACATTATTATTTTAATTATCGGTTATTAATAAAAGACATGTTTATATCAAACAATATCTAATTACCAACATTATAGTACTCAATTTTGCATACTTTTCATTTAGCTAACCTTGCAGTAAATTATGAAATATATGTTTTAGTGTTTTTTAATATTTTAAATAATGATTTGTAAATATTAAATTTTATATGAATGAATGCATAAGAATATTATATAACTCACCCTACGGTAACGTGCATGATATTTGCTAGTAAGCACTAAAATAAAAAAAAGTTGCAATTTGATCAACTCATATAATAAAAATTAAAAAAAAATGCTGAATTAGAAAAAATTGATAAATTATTGCACTAAAAATATAATTAATTCCTCGTTTGTTTAGGAAAAAAAAAACTGCTTAATGCAACCAACCGGAAACGACAAAAACCAAATCATGAAATTCACCGAACATTGCTAGCAAGTCCTCCTGAGTTATTTTATCATTTCTACCTCAACGTCTCCCTCCTCCTCTCGCTCTAAGTAGTTAGGCTTTTATTTTTTATTTTTTATTATTCTCTTTTTATAGTTAAAAGAGAAGTGAAGTAAACGTAAAAATGAACATGTCTCGCGCGAGACCGATACGCATAGTAGTGTTCAGGTCCGAACAGGACCAACTTTTCTCTCTCTATCCATCTTCTATGTGTGTGTCGCATCGTGTCTTTATAATATGCGAGTAATATTTTCCACGTGTCAAACCACATGATAGGCAGAACCCTCACATACAATCAATGATCTATGGATGGATCGATGGAAAGAAGCCAGAATAATAATTGCCCTTTTTTTTTTTTTTTTTCAGTAATAGTGTCTGGCAGGCAAAGGCAAAAGCCAAAAGGAGAGAGGGGTCTTTGAATTGAAACTATTCTTCTTTACAGTCCACTTTGCTTCTCTCTCTCTCTCTCTCTCTCCCCATGTGATTTTCTTAGGAAAATACCAATAATAAATACTAATAAATAATAAAACAGTTGCAATCCAAAATAATTTCTCTTCCTAAAGCCTCGTCTCCATTTTCACCTTGATCTCTTTTCTCTACTGTCACTCGCCACACACACAAAGACGCACTTGCCTCTCTACCCCTCTTTCGATTATTATTATATTAATTAACTATAATAGCAAAAGAAAAGCAAATTGTGATTAATAATATTATTATTATCTTCATTAGCTGCTAAATTGTGAAGAATTTGTATGCTCATTGTGGTTGATTTTGATTCAATTCCGTAACCAACTGTCTCTCTCTAAAAACTCTCTATTTTTTAAAATTTTTTTTATATGTTTATATACGTGTGTAATTAATTGAGTTGGAGAATTTCGGGATCTGCTATGATTTTGAGTTGCTTAATTCTGATCTTTCCGGTGCTATTGTAAATCAACGCTTTGGATCCGATCGCCGGAGAAACAGCGCCATCAGATGGCGCTGTTCAGACGCTTCTTTTACCGGAAGCCGCCGGATCGGCTTCTTGAGATCTCCGAGAGAGTCTACGGTACTTTTTTCTTTATTTATTTATTTTTTTGAACTATTCGCTATTGAATGCATCTTCAAATTTCTGCTTCATTTCTATTTTTGAACAATTCAAGCTTGATGATTATGTTTCTTATAATATAATTTAGTAGTGAATTATTCCAAGTTTGGTATTTATTCTTGGCAATGCATTAATAACCTCTTGAGGAGTTTTGTTTAATCTGCAATTGAGCATAATGTTCAGTAATCCTTAAAATTTTTGCTGCAATTGGTTTTTTCTAATTAGTTCCTATGTTTTGAGTGCTTAGCTTAGGCAGACTTATTTGTTATGCTGCCGAAAAATTGAGGAGTTCGGTTGAGCTTTAGACATTTTTGTCGTATCAGCACTTTTTAGCTAATTCGTTTTAACCCCCTTTTTTTTTGCAGTATTTGACTGTTGCTTCTCTACGGACGTGTTGGGAGAAGATGAGTACAAGGTGTACTTGGGCGGCATCGTAGCACAGCTACAAGACCACTTTCCTGATGCGTCCTTCATGGTGTTTAACTTTAGAGAAGGAGAGAGGCGGAGCCAAATATCTGACATATTGTCTCAGTATGACATGACAGTTATGGATTACCCTCGGCAATACGAGGGCTGTCCTATGCTGCCACTCGAGATGATCCACCACTTCCTTCGATCAAGTGAAAGCTGGCTGTCCTTGGAAGGCCAGCAAAATGTGCTGTTAATGCATTGTGAAAGAGGAGGTTGGCCTGTACTTGCTTTCATGCTTGCAGGTCTTTTGTTATACCGGAAACAGTATACTGGGGAGATCAAGACTCTTGAAATGGTCTACAAGCAAGCTCCTAGGGAACTTCTCCATGTTTTGTCACCTTTAAACCCACAGCCTTCCCAACTTAGATATCTTCAGTACATTTCTAGAAGAAATTTTGGTTCTGATTGGCCTCCATCAGATACTCCTTTGCTGTTGGATTGTCTGATGCTCAGGTCCCTTCCATTATTTGAGGGGGGCAAAGGTTGCCGGCCAGTTGTACGTGTTTATGGCCAGGATCCTTCAAAACCAGCCAATAGAACTTCCAAGCTTCTGTTTTCAACATCAAAGACTAAAAAACATGCTCGACTCTACCAGCAGGTAATGCCTTTAGTCATGTAATTGAATATGATACATGAAACGCATCCACATTAAGGTGTTCCTTGTGAATTTCATCAATTGCAGGAAGAGTGTATACTAGTGAAAATAGATATACGGTGCCGTATTCAAGGGGATGTTGTTCTTGAGTGCATCCATTTGGATGAAGATTTGGTACGTGAGGAGATGATGTTTAGAGTGATGTTTCACACAGCCTTTGTGCGGGCCAATATTTTGATGCTCATTCGTGATGAGATTGACACTCTCTGGGATGCAAAGGACCAATTTCCAAAGGACTTCAGAGCAGAGGTAGGTTATCTTAATTCTTTTGTTGACGCTGTTTTCTGAAGCTGTAGGAGTTGAATGCATACTCATATCTGTATCAGGTACTTTTCGCGGATGCTGATGCTGTTGTGCCTAATATCACCACAGTCGTGGCGAATGAAGATGGAAATGAGACAGAAAGTGCTTCACCTGAGGAATTTTTTGAGGTGGAAGAAATTTTCAGCAATGTAGTAGATGGTCATGAAGCGAAGGTGGATGGTGCTTCTCATATAGTCCATGACAACATGCCAATTGATGTAGACAGTAAAGAAGTCTGGAAGGAGGATTCAGATATTCACTCATTTGAAGACTGTGCTTCTGATGACGGGAATCACAAACAGGAGAGGAAGCTAAATTCTAGTGTTGATGCAGTGAAGGATATTGCTGTGGATGATGTCAAGTACAAGGTTGATGAGAAGGTGGATTCTGCTTTTCTGGCAGTGAAAGACATTATTGTGGATGATGGGGATCTCAATGCAAATTCTGTGGTGGTTGTTACTGATACGCTGATTGGTAAAGAAACAGTAGAAGTGATTGAAGATGTTGATGGGGAGCTTAAAAAGATGGAAGATAAAGCTGATAGAGAAAATACTGCTACAAAGAAGTTAGAATGCAAGGTTCCACCAGTAAAGTTGAGTGCTGGTGGTAGACAGAAACTTGAGAAATTAGGGTTACCTTCACCAAGGAGACAGCCTACATCAAACGCAAAACCAGGTGCAGATTCAATTGTAACTAAAGAAAAGACTAAACAATATGAACCACAGGGAAGTAATGGAAAACAAACAAAGCCAAATACTGTTCCTCGGTGGGTTCCACCTAATAAAGGCCCTTTTACCAATTCAACGCATGTAGCATATCCACCATCAAGGTATAATAGTGCACCACCTGCTCTTGCATTTTGTGCTTCCCCAAAGGACTCTAGTGCTGGTGGTCATGTAAAGAGTTCTTCAGTTGCCACCGCCCATGGAGATTTAATTTCAAGTGAGATTCCTTCTTCTCCAACTGAATCACCTCCTTCGCCTGACTGCCAACAAGTTGTGCGTCCTTCTCCTTCTCCTTCTCCTTCTCCTCCACCTCCACCTCCACCTCCGCCTCCACCTCCGCCTCCGCCTCCACCTCCGCCTTATTCCAACAAATCTTCATTGTATGATTTTCAGGCCAGTTCAGTAGGTGAAGCATCTCCTCCACGTCCACCACCACCACCGCCGCCGCCGCCACCTCCACCTCATTCACAGATTGCTAATGCGGTTTCCTTTTCTGCTCCACCTCCTCCTCCACCTCTGCCTCCTCCTTTTCCTTCCACATCATTTAGCAGGCAGAATATTCAGATAGTTCCACAGCATGTATCCCCACCCCTACCTCCCCCTCCTCCCATTCTCACTCCGTTTAGTAGACAGAATACAGGGAAGGTTTTGCCTCCCCCACCTCCTCCACCCCCTTGGAAGTCTGAGTATATTCCAGCTGCTCATGCTACGACTCATTCTCCACCACCTCCTCCTCCACCCCCTCATCTCCCTTTGAGTGCTTCTACTACTACAAATCATGGCAGAGTTGGAATTCCCAATCCACCACCACCACCTCTTACTCACACGTGTGGCACTCCTTTGGCTCCACCACTGCCTACTCATGGAGTTATATCTCCTCCTCCTCCTCCCACCCCCACATTGACAGCGTGTGGTGCTCCACCGCCACCACCACCGCCACCTCCCCCACCCCCTCCCTCACCCTTGCAGCCTGCACATGGAGCTCCACAACCCCCACCTCCACCTCCTTTATGTGGAACTCCACCACCACCTCCTCCAGGGCGTGGAGCTCCTCCACCACCGCCTCCTCCAGGGCGTAGAGCTCCTCCACCAGCACCGCCTCCTCCAGGGCGTGGAGCCCCTCCACCACCACCACCTCCTCCAGGGCGTGGAGCCCCTCCACAACCGCTGCTGCCTCCTCCAGGGCGTGGTGCCCCTCCTCCCCCACCACCTCCTCCAGGGCGTGGAGCCCCTCCTCCCCCATCACCTCCAAGGAGTGGAGCCCCTCCCCCCACTGCATCCAAGGAGTGGAGCCCCACCTCCCCCACCTCTTCCAAGGCAGGGAGGCCCACCTCCACCGCCCCCACCAGGAGCTCGTGTTCCTGGCCCTCCAGCACCCCCAGGAGCTCCAGGCAGTGCACCACCCCCTCCACCTCCAGGCAGTGCAAGAGGTCTACCTTCAGGAAGAGGGCGTGGACTTTCACGTCTTTCAGGGATGGGGGCATCTGCTACAGCACCCAGAAGATCTTCCTTAAAGCCTTTGCATTGGAGCAAGGTAACAAGGGCAATACAAGGAAGCTTATGGGAGGAGCTGCAAAGGCATGGAGAGCCCCAAATGTATTGCAACTTCTTTAGTAATTGAATTTTATTTAGAATAACTAACACACTATTCAGCCATACTTTCCTGAAGTCTATATATGCATTACAATTTACAGTTTTGCATCATTTTCTCTATATTTGATGGTGTTGCATCCTTGTGCCATAGTGCACCAGAATTTGATGTGTCAGAGCTAGAAAGCCTTTTCTCTGCAACAGTCCCCAAACCTGCTGATTCAGGAGGTAAAGCTGGAGGAAGACGCAAGTCTGTTGGATCAAAAGCTGACAAAGTTAACCTGGTAATCTACAATTCATTTTCATGTCTTGAAATTTTCTGTGAAAAAACCTCCGATGTCTGTGTGATGGATCTTTCATACTTGGCTGGGTTTTTATTTTATTTTTCTCTGACTCTTTTCAATGGGTTTTTCTTGCTTTCTTCAATCAAAATATGGTAAGTTTCAATTTCTCTCTCCACAAGGCTCAAGTTAATTTGACTGGTAGGAATTGCACCACTTTTCTCATTAGCTGACAAGCCTTTGTTTTCCTGGGGAGATATTATGGCAAATGATTCTAGAACTGGTGTTTATTTTTGTGGTTACTGTGACAATTTGGTGAGAAAAGTTACTTTTGAGTGTATCTGCACCAGTTATTTAGAAATTCTTTATACAGATAGCTAATGAAATATGTAGATGAGTATACATTTATGAATTTTTTACATGTAAGCTAAATACAATATGTCCCCCGTATATGTGCAATAAGTTATTTATGGTGGTTATATCTTTTAAGTGCAGTTAGAGTAACATTTATCTTAAATACTAGGCTGTATACTATTACGGGTTAAACTATGCTGAAGTTAAAACTATTAATTTTCAAATATGCATGGAAATATCAAACATTGCTCTACATAGCATGGAATGGAGGAATCGTATTTGACCTTAACTAATTTGAGGTGAAGGTTCAGATGAGTTGGATGCTAAGCAGGTGTGATGCATATCATAAAAAAAGAAAAAAAAATCCCATTAAAGAAATATATGCCCCTTATACAGTCTCATCATGCACCAGTGGTTTCATTTATCTCTGTGTGAATTCTGTGTTCTCTTAGTTATGTATTGCTGTGCAATTGCCATGTGTGTTTTTGTCTACCTTTCTGAATATATATATCAATTTGATTGTTGCTTTTTCTTGTCAAAGAAAAATATTCTTATGATAAAATCTTGATCTTTTTCTTACAATTTATTGTCTCTCAAATGAAGCATCTTGTTAACTGTAGATTGATCTGCGGAGGGCGAATAACACTGAAATTATGCTGACAAAAGTTAAGATGCCACTTTCTGACATGATGGTAAGATCAGACATCTTGGAAGCGCTTGCAGTGATTAGAATATTTATTTCATTTATTAAAGCTATTTTTCTTCATTAGCGGATGAAGACATGATCTTTTGTAGTTAGACTATATAAGGAATGCTTGAGATTGGAAAGTTTAAACAGGATAACATAATATTGTATGTGTTGGGTATTTCTGTTGTGTATATTTGGAAGAGAGTTATTCTTTAACCACAGAGACTTCCACCTTTCAAGCAGTCTGTGCTAGTCTTGAACCATTTATAGCAATGCATGTTTTTTGAAGTGTAAAGGATTGAATGTGATGTAATGGTCAGAAGCTATCCTTTCTGTTGACCTAGGAGCACATTCTCCTATGACTTGGATTTCCCTGCATGATGCAGGTGAATACAAAAATTCTCCTGTGACTTCGATTTCCCTGAATTGACGTCCCTTCACTGCACTGTTTGTTGACCTTGGAGCATACTCTACTGCAACTTGGATTTCCTTGTACAATATAGGTGTTTTAAGTTTCACTTTTTGATATGGAAATGGAACCAATATAAGGCTGCCTTGCTTTAGGGCTTGCAGACAACTATCACTGGGAGTTGAGCGGAGCTGGTAATCTTGGGGCTGGAATTTGTGAATAAAAAGTGTATGATTTAGGGTCTTACTAACAGTTTAACCTTATGGTGGAATTTATTTTCATGACTTATCATTTTCATCCATGACAGGTTTTATGTTGCTTCTTTGCATGCATGCAATTTTTGGCTCAATTATATAGTAGGTTGCCCTTTTATAAGATTCAGCTCAGTGGCTGTTTGAAGCAAAAATTTTATGCTTGTCATGTTTTTATGGACTGATACTCCAAAATTTATTTATTTTGGATCTATCAGCTTTGGTGCAAATGGGATAACTGATGATAATTGCCTGCATATTTTTAGGCTGCAGTACTAGCAATGGATGCGTCAATATTAGATGTTGATCAAGTGGAAAATCTAATAAAGTTCTGTCCCACTAAAGAGGAGATGGAACTTCTCAAGGTGAAGCTACAAATAATGATGATCTCATTTACGTTCTGTTCTATATTCAACAGTACTTTGACGCTCAAGGTCAATATTAAATTTTTAACCCGAATCAATTGTAAAATAACAGGGCTACACTGGTGACAAGGAGAATCTGGGAAAGTGTGAACAGGTCTGCAAAGTTTATTTATCAACCAGAATTTCCTCATCTTTTACTGGAATGCATTCTTGAGAACTTTGTCAGTTGTCACATATGGGTTAGTTGAACTCTGGAGGATTGACATGCGCCTCCGTACCTGTAGCCTGGCCTATGTGACTTTTTAAAATCCTTATAGCTTCTCTTTCATTATCCAAAGCAGTGGATTATGGCTAGTTAAAATATAATTGTACTTGCTCTTTTTAGATTTCACTGTGACAATAAAGTAGGTAGGTTGGCTGATCCATTTCATCCTAAAAGTTGTTGTCTAGTATCACTGGTCTATGATACCCTGGCAATTTTCATTTGAAATTATGAACTCCAAACTTCCAATTCTTTAATTGGAAAGAGATGCATAAGAAGACACTAACTTGCGGCATGAGAAATTTGGTTTGGCCCTCTAAAAAAAGGCACATGGAAAGTACTGCAGTGGTTGTAAGCACTAGGAAGGAATCAGATTTTTTCTTGAAGATTTACTATAAGTTTTGAAGTTAAAATAATCTGAGCCTTTAATACTAGATGATGAGAAGCATTGAGAATTTTCTTCTCCTATATAAGAGAAAATAGAGCAAAATAATAGAAACTGTCTTGTGACAAGTTATGGGATTCATCAACAAAGTTTAGCTGTCTAGTGGTAGAAAAAAATATCCCATGTTTTAAATAGATTTTCTTCTTTTATCAAATAAAAAGATGCAAGCTAAGAATACTAGTGCCTTTCCTGTCTTTTCTCTCTTTCTTTCCTGGTTGGTAGGAAGTATTTTTTCCTTTTGTTTTGTTCTCGTTTTGGTTTTGGTTTTGGTTTTCTTAAAGAAGGCTCTTATACCAAAGGAGGGTATGGTTCGTGTGAATATGTCTGCATGAAGTATCATGTACTGCATGAGAAGTGATGAACGCACTAGGCAGCCCCACTATCTTATGGATATCTCCAAATTCTGTTATTGTTATGAGTTTTTTTTCCTTTTTATTTATTTTTTTGGAGGTTTAAAGGGTACACAATGGTGGGTAACCCTTTCCAGTCCCTATATCTGCACCCATCCCTACCAAGGTGGAAACTAAAACCTCCAAGTGGAAATCTTTAGTCTAAATTGGCCTGTTCCTTTGGGGACTTTGAGTATTCTGTTTTAGAGTTATATTGGTGGAAGCCTGACAATGTTCTTATTGATATTTGGAATATCAGCAGTCACGTTCATCCATTGCTCTAAAAAAGATTGTTATGTTATGGAATTCTTTTCACGAGCAGAAGAACTACAAACTCTACTGGGAAGTAGAATAACTTCTACAAAAATTTTCAAGTAGATGATTTTAGTTTAGTTATGGTTGTCTTTCATATTAAGGACATGGTTGCTTATGCTCAAAAAGATAAAGGATCCTTTTGCAGACTTGGATGGTAAACTTAAAAGGCGCTTAGAAGCTAGATAAGAGCTAGGGCAGTACAAGAGGAAAGCCGGAAGTCTCTTTGAAGACATCTGATATGATTGGAACTATACATGAAAAAATACCGTGGCCCCTGCGCAAGAATATCATGCACAAGTTGAGAAAAGCTCTTGTGCGCCAGGGGGAACTGAACTAGGATGCATGAAATTGGTTATAGCTGCCTGCAAGTCTTGATAGCTTCAATTGCTATAATTGGGGCAAATATTAATTTATGTGGATGTATGAAATTGGTGATAGACGACTGCATGTCTTGATAGTTTCAATTGCTATAATTGAGGCCATTATGAATTTATATGGTTGATGATATTACATTGCATATTGTCTATGGTTCATCATGCGAAACCCATTTATTTGAATCTTTTGTATGCATGTAGATTACATTATTTAGGTCAACTGATTTTGCCTATTGGATATGTTGGATAACTTGAATGCATCAATTTGAACAAACTATTAAGCTTGATTATATGTGTTCCTCCAGTACTTCTTGGAGCTGATGAAAGTTCCACGTGTTGAGTCCAAATTGAGAGTATTTTCTTTCAAGATTCAATTCGGCTCTCAGGTTTGGCGGCATCTGCATTGTTAGTGTGATTTTCATAAATTTATCATTCTCCTAAACTATGCTTTTCTCCACATTTTTCTTATCCTTACTCTCTTTCACAGATTTCAGAATTTAAAAAGAGCTTAAACACTGTAAACTCTGCATGTGATGAGGTATACTCTGCAAATGATAATGAAGCCTTCCGTGTAGTTTGTGCATTCATTTTTTTATGTAAGGGGCCTGAATATCTGCTTATTAGGTCCGAAATTCCCTCAAATTGAAAGAAATTATGAAGAAAATTCTTTATCTGGGGAACACGCTGAATCAAGGAACTGCACGGGGTAAGTAGTTGAGGTTCTAAATTCTTATCAAGGTCTGAAATTTTCTCTAAAGGAAATTGCCGAGAAAATTCTTTATCTGGGGAATATACTGAACTAAGGAAGTTATAAATGTTGTATTCACAATTAACGTTTTTAGAGAACTTTCATAATGGCATTTGACATGATTATTTATGTTTTCATGAGACAATCAAAGAAGAAGAACTTAATTGCCTGTGATGGTGTGCTTGGTCCTTCCATAATTATCATGCCTTACTTTAAAACCTACTCGAGGGGCATGTCCTATATTGCAACTTAGAGAATCTGATGAACCATATGCAGTCTGAACACAGTACTTATAATATCTGCCAATTGACATTATCTGTACAAGCCTTGAGCTCTATTTTCACTATATCACAACTCATGGCTTAAACTCAACTAGTGCCATGTAGCAGCATTCTATGCAGCTTCAACTTTAAATGAAAACAGCTCCTTTTCTCATCTTTTGATGACGTGTCATCTGTTGTAATGGTGAAGATTTATGTGGAAAATATTTTGCCTTATATTTCTTTTGTTTAGATTACATATAAATAGGAATACAATAGTGTCTATACTAGAAAAGAATTCTATACAAATCAAATCTCCAAATTTATCTCCTAAATCTCCTTTAATTTATCTCATCCTCCTAATTAGCAGCCCCTTGATCTGGCTGCCATTGATTTCTCCTTCACGACACTCCCTCTCAAGTTGGCCTGTAAATGTCTTCCATAGCTAGCTTGTTTATTAGGAAATCAAACTGTTTTCTTTTGTAGTCCTTTAGTGAGTATATCAGCCGTTTGTTTGGTGGTTGGTATGTAAGGAATACAGATTAGGCCACTTTTTAGTTTCTCTTTGATAAAAGGTCTATCCACTTCGATGTGCCTGGTTCTGTCATGTTGAACAGGGTTGTGTGCAATTGAAATGGCAGCCTTGTTGACATAATAGACTTTAATAGGAAGTGATATAGGAATCTTCAGATCTTCTAATAACCTTTTGATCCACATTACTTCAGAAATCCCATGTGCGAGAAACCTAAACTCAGCTTCAGCACTACTTTGAGCTACTGCGTTCTGTTTCTTACTCCATCAAGTGACTAGATTTCCCCTAACAAAAGTACAGCATCCTGATGATGATCTTCTATTAGAAAGGCTATCTGCCCAATCAGCATCTGTGTAGATTTCAACCTGTCTATTATCACATTTTTTAAACATCAAGCCTTTCCCAAGTGTCCCCTTCAGATACCTTAGTATTCTGTAGGCAGCTTCAAAGTGCTCTTTACCTGGCAAGTGCATAAATTGACTTATTACGCTTACAGCAAAGGCTATGTCAGGACGAGTGTGATAGATATATTAGTCTTCCCACCAGTCATTGAAATTTTTCCCTATCAATCACCTATTCATCCTTAGCAGGGCTGGGTTTTAGGTTAGCCTCAATTGGAGTTTGGGCAACCTTGCATCCCATTAGCTCGGTTTCTCCAAGTAAATCAAAGATATACTTCCTCTGATTCACAAATGTTCCTGCTTTTGATACTAGCTATGATCTTGACATTCCCATAGCACTTAGAAACAGTACTCGGTCTTGTACTAGCCATCCTATTGCAAAATATCTCTCATATGATAAGCTATCTTAGAGTCATAGGGCATTTACATAAAAAATCTCTAATTTGTTTGTTTTGAGAAATGTTCAGTGCCATTATCAGTGTGGAGAATGCCAATTTTTTGTTGAAATTGGTTTTCAATCATTGTATAAAATTTTTTAAATAAGTTTGTGAATGATAAAAAAATTTATCACTTTTTGACAAAATACAACTTTCACAATGAAAGGCTGAATAATCCAATCCTCGAAACAACATAGGAAAAGATCTTTTCAAATACAAAAACCTAGGATGTCCTAACCTATAGTGCTAGAGCATAATTTGATTCGTGATAGAAAGAGAACTAATACTACCCAAGCTTTGAGATTTTTTACCCTTGGAATCTTCATCATCCAAATGGTAGAGACCATCTATCATCCTAGCATTGCCAATCATCCTCCTCGAACTTTGGTCCTGAAACACACAATGAGAGCCAAAGAAGGTAACTTGACAGTTAGAATCTCTAGACAATTTGCTAACAGATAGGAGATTACAAGTAAGTTTAGGTACATGAAGAACAGATTTAAGGGACAAGGTACTAGATAAGGTTACCAAACCTTTACCAGCAATAGGAGAATGTGACACAGACTTTTTCATAACCAGAACAAAGGTTATAAGTATGAAACAAATTTGAAAGACTTGTCATATGATCAGAAACTCTTGAATCAATGATCCAAGGAGCAGGAAAAGAATGACATACTAGGGCATTAGGATTACTACTTGAATATGCCAAAGAAGCATTAGGTGCACCTAACAATTCAGAATTAGATTTCAGCAGTTTTAGGATGTGATCCAGTTGCTCTTTACTGAAAGAGGCAGTCTCGGCTTCGTGAGCTCTCATTTTTCCCTTTACATTTTGTTGGTTTCCCATGCAAATTCCGGCAGGTTTCACATGTGTGCTTTGGCTTATTGCAATAGTCACACTAAACACGGCATTTTCCCTCCAATTTCTCCTGAACCATTCTGCTAGCACATGCCTTTGCAGCAAGGGCAGAATTCTCCACTATTTTGTCAGGTTTTTTCTTCCCTAACATCACAAGTTTGCGGCTTTCTTCTCTCTGAACTTCAGAAAACACTTTTCCAATGGAGGGAAGTGGCTGTCTACCAATACTTCTGTCCCTAACTTCATCAAACTCAACATTTAGTCCAATAAGAAACTTAAATATACGATTATCCTCCCCCTTTTTCTTATAGTGGTGGTAATATTCTGATGATTTTCACTTATAATCATCACTGGTTAAGTCTAAGTCTTGCCATAGACATTTCAAAGAATTAAAGTATTTTGTAACACTTTCCTTACCTTTTCGGATTTCTCCAAGTTTCAGTGTCAACTCAAACAGTTGAGATTGATTGGCCAAGTCTGAATACATGAGATTAATATTGTACCATAGCTCCTTGGCAGTGTGGTAACACATATAATTGGAGCTGATTTCCTCCTCCACAGAATTCACCAACCAAGTCATTACCATTGAATTTTCAGCATCCCAAGTGGAGTAACCTGGGTCCTCAGGGGTAGGTTTCTTCTTTTCTCTTGTTAAGTAGCCAATTTTCCCTCTCCCACAGATATACATCTGCACTGATTGAGACCAATGTAGAAAATTTTCTCCATTCAGCCATATGGTTGTAATTTGGATCGAATAGGAATCTGAAGTAGGTAGATGGGGGGTATTGCTTTTTTTTGATGGGGCTGTGAATTTCAGATGAGTTTGGTTGAGATTCTGATACAAAATCAAACATGGTGAAGGAAGATGGATGGTGGACAGACAGCTAGAGGGGCTAGGGTATTTTTTGGAATGGACAGGGCTGGAATTCGGCTAGGGTTAGGTTTTTTGCCTAGAGCTCTGATACCATGTAGAAAGTATTCTGCCTTATATTTCTTCTGTTTAGATTATATTACATATAAATAGGAATGCAAAAGTGTTTATACTAGAAAAGAATTCCATACAAATCAAATCTCCTAATTTATCTCCAAATCCTCCAAATTAGCAGTCCCTTGATCCAGTTATCACTTATTTCTCCTTCTCAACAATTTATATTTTGAAACATTATAAATCTCGCAAAGTATAATTCTTGGGTTTTATATGATGGGGAACTGACCGAGAATCATGGAGCTGTAATTTAAATACATGACTCTTCTAGTTGTTTTAGGGATTTAAGATTTTATTTCCTGTCCAATAGTTGATTTAGTTTCATTCTATATTTCATTTGACATTTTTATGAATCACAATCTTCTTGTTTCATTTACCATTATTTTCTAAGGTTTATTGGAGTTTTTAGTTGTTAAAATAAGAAAGTGTTTCCTCTCAACTCTATACTTGTTTGTCTTTCCTGTCCCTATTCTTCTCTCATACAGTATCTCCTCTCCTCTTCCCCATCCTGTTATTCCTTAATCTCTCCCCCAACTAGTGATCTTTGAACACTTTCCTGCCAAGTAATGATCAAATTAGGTGGTGAAGCACATGCTTTTTGAAAAAGAAACTGCTATAACAGCATGGTAAACATTAATAGAACATGTAAAACAATAGTTTTCTTTTGAAGAATATGAGCACAGATGTCCATATTATCTGGTACTCACGTATCCATATTGGTTTCTCTCACTTGTTTGCAATTTATTTTCCATCATCTTACCATCAGCCAGTGTCCTGCCTCAATGAGTACTTTTTTTTTTCCTGAACTTTTCATGGTAACTTCATGTATATAAGATATCAAATACTTGTCAAATTGTACAGGTTCTGCAATTGGATTCAAGTTGGACAGTCTTTTAAAACTCACTGATACGCGTGCTTCTAACAACAAGATGACGCTTATGCATTATCTTTGCAAGGTGTGATCAGTATTACCCACCCCGCCCCCCCAAGCTTTTTTACTGACAATTTTAGATTTTCTATTCGAAATTTGGTTGTTATGGAGCCCATTTGTGATTGCTGTGTTGCTTCCTGGGATGCAGTGCTTATGTAACCAGTTATTGATTATCAATATCAAGTCCAGTAATTTGTAATAAATTGAACAATGCAACAATAAGTTTACTCATACCATGTCTTTTGGGAACACAGTGCAGGTTGTGGAATGGGTACTCAAGCGGATCCATATGAATTAAGAGGAACTGAACTCTTTTATTTTTTAGCTGTTTAAACGGTTTTAGAAACTTCTTGATGTTTTGAATTTTTTGGGAATATGTAAATTTGGAGACTGTTAATTTGGGATTAGCATTAGATTAATATTGGAGAACGTATATGAGTTTACTTAGTTATATCGTTAAGTTGGAAAGGATGTGATCCAGAAAAGTTGTAGAATTTTGAACTTGAATTGCTCTAAGATTTAATCTTTGTGCAATTGTGGTGGCATCTGTTGCTAGACCTATAATAATTGGTTAATTTCCTTCACCTTTTGTTTTCAGAAATTGATTCATGTGATGGAAACATTAAGTCACAAATCCTTTACAATAAATAGTCATAAAGTTGCATATATTTATGGCTGATCCGTTATTAGTGTTTTGAATTATTCGTGATTTCAATTTCGTTATGTGTAGCATTATTCTTTATTTTCCTAATTGATTTGAAATAAAATGTTCCACTTAAAATCTCCACACTTGAAATTGTTTATTTGAATCAAAGTTTCATAAAATGAAAACTGAATATTGTCTTTGCATTGTTTTAGATTATGTTCATTCTTCTACTGATTGTGTTCGTTGCTCTACTGATTCTGTAATGTTTGTTAATCGATATTATTCTTTTACCTCTTACCTATCAAAGAAATGAACTCCAGTGTCAATTGCCATTTTATGTTTAGTCACACACTTCATTTTCTTGTCTCCCAGGTGCTTGCTGCTAAGTCACCAGAGCTTCTAAATTTTCACAGGGACCTTGTTAGCCTTGAAACTGCATCTAAGGTGTCTTCCTTGTTTTAATTGTCAACAGCACTTAATTAATGTAGTAAGATTATGTATAGATGGAGTGTTTGTTTCTTGCAGTTACAATTGAAGTCTTTAGCAGAAGAAATGCAGGCTATCATCAAGGGATTAGAGAAAGTTAAGCAGGAGCTGGGAGCATCAGAAAATGATGGTCCTGTATCTGAAGTTTTTCGAAAGGTACAAAGCCAATTGTCTTGTTTATATTCTGTTTGTGATGCAGGACATCTTGGGGGCTGTTCTCGATCTGAGTTTGGAGGCTGTTTAGTATTGTATTGGGTTTTCTTAAAGTGGATTTCTACTGAGAATTTTAGAACTATCAGATGTGCAGTAATAGGGTTTCTAAGAGTCACACCTAGAGGATAGAAAAACCTAAGGTTCATACGTAGGGTTCTTAGGAGTCACACCTAAGGGAGATTGAGTCACACAATCAAAAGCAAATTGCTGGAATTTTATTTATAAACTTCTATTCATAATATTGAAAGGCTACATGCTTATTTAGAGTTTTAATAGTCCAAATCCAATAAGGACTTAAATTCCTAAATAAGAAAAATACTAAGTGTATGTAGAACAGGAAAAACCTAATAAAGCTAATTACTTTTTAGGACTAATAAAATACAAAATAGAAAATAAAACCTAGACTTAAGACAAATTTCTAGATTTTCTGAAAATTACAGAAATATCCTTGTCTACAAAAAGACACAAGTTTTGCTTCCATTGTTATCTGCATCAGTTTGTGTAGAAAACTGGTTTGGTGTTGTTTATTTCATCTTGCCTCTTAAAAACTGCTGATGGAAATTGCCTCTGTTATTAATTAATTATTTTTTTTCTTTTGTTTCATTGTTTAGAGTGAGCTTTTTAAAGTGCCAATATGATTGTTGCTATTTCCTTTTCCTTCTTAGATAAAACTATTTCCTGAACTATGATAAGACTATTGACATTGTGTATTAATTAAATATCTGTGGCTAGATGCATTTAGCTGGCATCCATAGTTGACGTAACGTCAGATATAAATATAGTTGAATGTCTTCACTATAAAAGATCTTTACAGTATCTTACCAGTTTACCCCTTTGAGAATGTGCAATAATCTAATTGCACTTTATATGTCAAGAAGTGGATCAATGTAATGCGCATATTGTTTCTTATTTCATATTAATATGTTCTTTATGCACTGACAGCCTTTTATGTGAATTTTAGACACTAAAAGAATTCATTGGTGTTGCTGAGACAGAGGTGGCATCTGTGACAAATTTGTATGCTGTAGTGGTAATTTGCCAACTATTTATTTGCATCTGCTATTATCTACCAGAGTAACTATGTTCTATTGTCGACTGTCATCAATTATTGTCATGTGATGGGCAGGGTAGAAATGCGGATGCCCTTGCACTGTACTTTGGTGAGGATCCCGCACGTTGCCCATTTGAGCAAGGCAAGTTATGCTTAGGACATTCTTCTCATTTAACTGATCTATGAATTTTACAATTTTATAGAGTATTGCATTTAGTAGTACCATGCTATGGTTTGTTTGTCAACTTTACTGAGTTCAGTATCTCAACTAGATTTGATGTTTATGTATAATTTAAAGGTTCTGTGGGATTATATAAACTTAAGCAGAGTTGGGTCGGTTTTATTGACTGGGAACTGTGTAAAAGGATTGGGCCATGGAAAAGTATTCATTTGGGGGTGTGTGGGTGGGTGGGTGTTGAGGTAGAAACATCTAGAAAATTTTCTCAAACACGAGAAGACTAAAGGATGCCTATGATACAAATTGAATTTTCATGGATACTACATTGTTTCCTTGAGAAAGACTTCAGCAGTTAATATTGGGATGGATTGTGAGATAATATGAAACGGTGGAAAAGGATTAAAAAAGAAAAAGAAAAGAAAAGAAAGTAGAAGCTGTTGACTACAAAGCAATCAAAGCTTTGTGATGCTCTAATATGTTTTGAGTCTAGTCTATATGTTAAGATTAACATTGGAGAGAATCTAAAATGATTTCTTCATCGGTGCTCTGATGATCAATGCAGTTACCGCTACTCTCTTAAATTTTGTGAGATTGTTTCGTAAAGCGCATGAAGAAAATTTGAAACAGGCTGAACTGGAGAAGAAGAAAGCTGAGAAGGAGGCTGAAATGGAGAAGGCAAAGGGAATAAATCTTACAAAGAAGAATGTGAAATAGCTGTGAATTGGTTTATTCTCTTCCTGGCTTGGCAATTTGAGGTTCTCTGCTAAAGCAGCCATCTGCCACAATGTTTTTTAGAGTGAACAGCGGCACATGCTGCTGAGGATTGGTAACAAGTATGTGGTTCTCTGCTCCAGTTTTCTCCAGTATGGTGCAAATACGACCCTTACAAGTGATACTTACAAGGCTCGAGCACCATTCAATGAGGCTTGCAGAGCTTGAGGCTATATTCAGTTAAGAGGTTGACTGATGAGTTCATTTTGATAGATATCACACGGATTATACTTGAGCTTGCTGAGTGGTTAAAAATGCCCATCAGCATGGGTTCTCTGCATGATTTAGAAGGCGATGGATGTGGCCCCGGCATCTCAGTTGTGAAGAAATTTTGTAGTTTTGGTGAATCCATTATACAGTAGGTGATTTGGTTTCCAACTTTCGACATTCGTTTGGCATAATATTTTCTGCCCCAGAGTGGATGCCTTCAGTAATATAAAAGCCACCGCCAAGTGACAGTGTGTACCATGAAACAATGTACAAATCTCTAACCCAACACTAACACTAGAATTTAATTTGTTTCTTGTAACATAGGGAGCAGCATTTTCCTTCTCTTGTTATTTTGTTTCTAATAGAGATTTTGACTTGACCCGTCCCAAAAGATGTATAGGTATTCAGGTTGAGATAGAGTGATTAGAAGACGGGTCGCTCTTAGTGTAATTGTAACATAACAGAAAAATGTAGCTTGCAGAACAGTTTCGAACTTGTTTCATAATTTAATTAAAACATGGGCATTCGTGGAAGTATCCTCGCTTGTGTTTACATTTCAGATTCATTAACGTTTGTTATGGCCATGGAAGTTGCATGTTGAAAGTGATTGTAGCATGCATACTGACAGCCCCTGGAGATTTGCATTTAGAAGAAGAAAACGCTAACGGCTAATAGTAGTTTCCAAATTCTTATTTTCTTTTTAATATGTATTTTGGGAACAGTTTACATAGTAATAAGACTAAAAATTTTCTTAGGACAATTTTAAATATATATCATTCACATCATCAGAGGAAACCTCATTAAATAGAGTATTAAACATCCAAATCGTTTTTATAAATCTGTTTTATTTTCCTTCAATTGGATAGCCTAATTAATTGGACTACCTTATGCCTAAGGGGGAAAAAAAAGCCTAAGGAGATAAAGTTGCTTAATTAATAAATTAGATAATTGTTGCAGTCTTATAGTTTTCTGACAGGAATAAAGAATTGCTTAACTTTACATTGTTGGTTCTGATCTACAAGTAGCTGAAATTTCAATTTTCTTGATGACCAGTGATTAATACATCTACAATGCCATTTTTGTCTTTTATTCAACCAATCTATAACGATATAGAAACAAATGATTAAGCACTTGAAGAAAACCTTGGAAAATTCACATAGCTATTGATATTTTACAAATTCCGAAGTACAAATAAATAATAAAGCAGGAAATGTGAAGGGAAAAAAGAAGAAAGAATTGGAGAACGAATGTAACAGCTTGAACGTGTGTTATGGTACTTGCTGGATTCAAGTGTAGCTTGATTTCGCTGAAACAAAACCTTGTGAATCATTCTTTTGTTTGAATTCTTGTGTATTAGCCAGCCTTGTGACAGAAAGGGGGGGGGGGGGGGGGGGGGGGTTGTTTTTGAAGAAAAAAAGGAAAAGACATATGCTGTACTTGCTACGCTACACCTTTAAGCTCATCTTATAACCACCATTTTCTACGTCCTCTTCAATTTCATTAATCCTGTAAGTGTATTTACTTTGTTGATCAATGCAAGTACTGTAGGTTGGCTTGCAGCTTTTGAAGAAGATGCAACTGACAATGGTGTCCAGAACAACAAGAATCGAATACAAGTAGACGATAAGCATCCCCTCTGAAATTATCAACAAATTAGAGCTTGGTGTTTCACTTTCACCCTTATGATGATGATAAGCTCTCCCAATCCGGTATTGGAACAATGCTTCAACTCCTGCCAGAGCTATATTGACGGCAACTGTAAGCGATAGCGCAGTTGAAGCCCTTCCCCTGATCACAACACAAGCTTTTAAAATGGCCAGATATCCGCCGATTCTTTCCATGCCCGATAACACCAATGCTAAGTTGCATATTATGATTGCATGGGCAAGGATGATGGAGTAAGCAACAGCTCCAGCAGCTGAGAGGAAGAGATGAAGGCCAAATCCAATATTATCATGAAAAAGGTTAAAAGTAAAGAACAAGAGACAAAAAGCTGTTGAGTTGGCTGAGAGGATCAATAATGAATTGCATACATGGGTGAGGAGGAGAGGATTGAAAATGGAGAAAATACAAAAGAAATTAGGAGAAGGTGGTTTTTGGTGATTGGTTTTGAGAGCTTGAATAACAGATGCTTTTGTGATGAGAAAGAAAGTAAGGGTAAAGGGAAGCGTAAGAATGTGAAAGGAGATTGTTTGAGATAGCTTGAGAGTGACGAGGTTGAACAACTCCGAGGAGGGAGGGTGGATTAATCCTGCAGCATGGAACAGACTGTTCAACCTGTTATATACGACTGGAAGGAGAGATGATGAGGAGGAGGAGAGAAGAAGCAGGTTTGCGAGGAGAACTGAGGCAGAGAAAGGGAAGGCAAGAAGGGCTGGGGTTGAGGTGAAGTATTGATAGTTTTGAAGGAAAGTAAAGATTGATTTTCGCATAATCTTGCTTCCTGTGTTTTCCATTGGAGTCTTCTCTTGATCCATTGATGCGAGGGAGCTAGATGGGCATGAAATGAGTGTCTCGCCTGTAGGCTATAGGTTGGTTGTATACGAGAACCAGACTAGCTTGGAAGGTGATATTGATGTTTCCTCCTCTTCATTTGTTTCTTGAGCAAGTTTTCCTTTCTTTTTAATGATATACTATTAGATGGAAGTGGGTTGTTATTTTGGATTAGAAGAGACAGGTCAACTAAAATTTAAGCGAACAGAAGTTGCGGATATGGAGTTGGTTTCGAGTTTGGAAATTAATTGTTTTTAACAATGATATATTTGGATTTTTTTGGCTTCTGACTTTGTTATCCTCACATTAGTCGGCCAATAGGAGCTAGGAATATTTATATAATTTTCTAGGTTTGAATTAAATATATTATTAGAAGAATGATGATCCATGGCTTGGCTTTTCATCATCTCTCTTGCTTGCTTTTGATTGCTTGAAATACAAACTATATATGTATATACTGCCTTTGTGATTTCTCGCTTCGTTCGGTTGGCTACTTTTATATATATATATATACACACACATACATTGCCTTACTTCCAACGGTAGAGAGGCACATGGCAGCTTAGTAGTCCCCTACTGTCAGAACATTATATGAATTTTTAAGGAGGAATTTGGGAATCAGAAAACAAACTCAGCAATTGAACAAATAAAATACCCCTTGGAATTATGAAAGATGAAGTGGAAGAATTTTTCTTGCAATTTTCGTATATATATAAAAAAAAATCGTTGGAATTTAGGTATGTATCATCAAGTGCTAAATATTTAATTTCATATAAATTGATCAGAAAATATTTTTATTAATAAATTAACAATAAAATAAAATCAAGTGCTAAAGATTTGCTTGGAAAGCTCTCCAAGGGCCAACTGGGTGTCCTCTCTTTTACGTTATGTTTCACGTGGTACGTGACTGAAATTCTTAGCTTTGAAGAGAGCTTTAATGATAACTAGCACAAAAGATAAGGAAAATTGAAGGGTAAAGATGGGAGGACTTCTAATTGAATCAACAAATTTACATCAGGGAACAATTTGTTGAGCTTAACATCCATTGATTAGCTGCGCTTACAGATAGGTAGTTTTGTATTTTACCTATCGTCATAAATTAATTCATCTAGTTTCTTAAAACAAATTAAGTAGTTCATATAGTTTTCAAAACTAATTTATCAGAATAATTTGCATTGCGTGCAATCTTTCCTACTGTTCAAGATGTGGTTTGATGGGTCGCATTGCGTCCAGCTGCAGCCCCTCCTTCCAAGAATAATTCGCAGCAGCAGCTTTTGTTTAATAATGCAGGCAAAGTTAACGGGAAAGATGTAAAAGAGATGAATGAACAGCTGCAGGCTCTTCCAAGATTGTTCATACTGATAAAATAATGGGAGTCAAGCCTGCAATTTGTATCTGCCACAAAGAATCAGCAACTGCCTTTTGCTATTGCTACGGTAAATTCCCCCAGCCAGAATGGTCCTAACGGTACTGTACACGGGGACGTTGTTTCTGTCCCGTTTGGCGTAACCATAAACACACCTCACGTGTTGGCGCATCAACCTGGAACTTTGAATCAGAATTGGGCAGAATCTTTGCGTGGACAGAATAACTTGGCTGGGCAGACCGATATTGAGAGTCAGGTAGGTGATTGCATTGCGCTCCAGATTCCTTCAACTTATATGGTGAAGGATATGAATCTAAAACTTATGAAAGACAGCACAGGTAATCAGAAGTCGACCTCAATAGACTTGGAAATCAGTCCTATCCAGAATTGTGCAACTGCCACTAACATGGCAGACGCTGTTACAATTCCTGTTGGAATACCTGAAAATACAGCAACTATACGTGGGACTTGGCCTAATGGAATTTCTAAATATATAGCAGCAACTAAGCGGATCCAAGTTAGTGGGTTGAATAATGTACAGATCAATAGGAGGAGTGGACAGAATATTGAAGATTGGTAGATCATCATTGGGCAGCAGCGGGAAGTTGGTACTTAAACCAATATCCCCGGATTTGGGCAGCAAGGAAATAATGGATTCTGTTTTATGCGACTTCAATAAAGATGTAGAGGCCAATTACTTTTCCATTCTACAAGGTTTAGAGTATGGGGATTTGGAGAATGAGGGATCACGGGTTGGTTGGAAAGGTTCCTTATCTGACAGTGCTTATCCTGACAAAAATACTAGTAGTCCCCTACTGTCACTGCCTCAGTCTTCCTCTTGGCTAGATTTCCAACAGGTGGATATGGGCTAAGTTAATAAATTGCACAAAGATCTCAAAAAACTAGCTTGCAAAGCAAAACTTCAAAATTCATATTTCAAGAGAAAGACATAAGCAGCTCTACAAGCATAAAGTGCTCCTATCCCTAAATTTTAAATATGTCTATCAATTTATGGAATGCTAGAGAGGTGAGAAATAAAGATACAATAAATTATATAAAACTCTAAAAACGACAACATCATCCTATATTAATAGTAATTTGAGATCCTAAACTGCATGAAGCTAAAATTGATAAGGTCGCGAAACAATTGCATTTCATGCATCATATGCATTATAATCCTATTGATTGTCATGTTTGGCTCTTTTGGAATGTTGACATTTACGTGACTAGTATGGAAGTTACCGATCAATTAGTCATAGTTAGAATAAATAGTCGGGGTTGGAATCCGGTTTGGTACTCTTTTGTCTATGTCAAATGTTTTAGGGTAGGTAGATTAGTTAATCTTTATCGGCTACCTTGGTTAGTGAGAGGGGGGCTTTAATGTCATAGCGGACATGTCAAAAAAGGTAGGTGGTACGAGTTATGACCTCCAAGCAATGAGGGATTTTGTGGATTGTTCCAATAATATTAAGGTGGATGATGCTAGCTATATAGATAACTAGTATACATGGTGCAATAATTAGTTTGGTCTAGCCAAAATTTGGGAGAGACTTGATAGTCATAATCAATGGTTAATTTGTTTCCTCTCCGTTATTTTGGTTCATCATCTTGCTAGGTTTCATTCGATCACTCTTTTGCGTTGATCCGATTTGAACCCACAAGAAAATTCCATTCTCTTTTTAAGTTCCACCATATGTGGATGGAACACAAGGATCGTGAGGTTTTTATCAAAGGTGTTTGGGAGGCTCCTTTTTCGGGTGCTTTTAGTGTATGTGTCAAGGATCCAACCATGTTTGGATTAGCTTGAGTTAACGTATTATTTTATTTTTTATTTTAATTATAATAAAAAGTCATTCTATTAATTTTTGTGTTTTATGTTTGTCAATTCAGTAGAATTAGATAGAAGTTCTTATGATATGCATTTGCAATAGTGATTGATCGAAAGATGTGATACAAACACTAATGCATATAAATGATATCATTAAACGTCCCAAGTCGTAGCATTGTCATGAATGGACATTGACTATATGCGGATAAATTTGTGAGTACTATGCTCATGCTATATGATAACGATAGGAGATCTCACACCTATTGGCATGGTGATGCCAAAGTAAGCACTTAGGTGATTTATGTTATAGAACATATCACTCGGACTTGACTCGCCATAAGAACCCATTTGGTTTTAGCCTATGGGAATCTCATACAAGATGGGTACAAATGGTCCTCGGACTTGAAGTCATCAAGGTTGTCTCATTAAAGGACTTATGCACTTTGATATTCGTTTCAATGAACCCATTAAAGGGTTGGACGTAGGTGATTCATTGGGTGTACTAGGAGTCTTATAGAGGTAGGCGTATGACTAAGATAGGACATATCATTCCTTGTATGCTAAAATAGGACATATCATTCCTTGTATGCTAAAGGAGTTATCACATTGCACTTCGATAAATATCTGCTAAAGAAATCTATGGTCATAGTAAGAGTACACCAATAGAGCATAGTTGGTTTATTCTAAAAGCTAAGACATTTGAGAATCGAAGAAAACTTGTGTGATCATAATCGAACAAAACTTATAACTAAGTTCGAGATCACATTGTGATAAATTGACACGAGGACTCGAATTGTATGGTAACCATGCTCGTGAAAGGTAATAATGGATTAATTAATCCTCTAAGAGAATTGGGTAATTATGATGTCTTACTAGAGGCCAATCTTAATTTATGTATCAAGAGATAAAAGAGGAGCTTTTGTTCTTGATACATTGCCAACATATCTAGGAGTCTACTCGAGCCATATGCAAAAGTTTAAGTATTCATATGATGAATAAGAAGGAAAGATATTGGAAGAAGTTTCTAATTTTGAAAGTTTCCTATTTTGAAAAGGATTCCAAAATGAAAAATTTCCTTAAATGATAATTTTCCTAAAATGAAAAGTTTTTTATTTTAGAAATCGGTTTCTTAATTTGGAAGTTGGCTCCAAATTTGGAAATAAATAACCTAAAATGGAAGTGAGTTTCCTAAATTATGTTAAAGGGTATTTTGAAAAATTATTTCCTAATGTGGATTCGTTTAAAATAATCTAAGATTATTTATTTGGATAGTCCAAATAAATTAATTAGGCTAGAATGGTTTAGCCAATTAAGTTTAATTAAAGCCTTAAGATATTTTGGTAGGAGGATAAAGATCAACCTTATTAGATAAGGATGAATGTTTTATAGATAATGATTAAAAGTCCACATGTAAAATAACACCTCATCCTTGGAGGATAAGGAAGCAATAACCTAAAATCCTTTAGGGACTCATTGCCGTCCCTCTCCTTATCCTTGGAGGAGAAAGAAAATCTCTTATAAATATATAGGAGAGAGGGAGGTGCGACAACATAAAAAAAGAAAAAAGAAAGAAAGATAAATTTGACAAGCCCTAAAAACTATTAGGGCACACGACAAAGAGAGAGAAAAAAAGAAGAAAATAGTTTTCTCCAAAAACCTATTACGCCATACTCTTTCCTTCTCTTTTAACGTTGTCATAAAGCACTATATAAATTAAAAAATATGAAGCTACCACTTTATCGATTTTGAGTGCTTCTTTATGGGTACTTGACTTGCGTGGATCATTAATAGAGGCTGAAAACATGGATGACTTTTATGATAAAAGAATTTAGATGTGTGTTACGAAGGTAATTCTTTATTCATTGCTTTAAATTCATACATTTATGATTAATAGATTCAACGACTTGATCTTGGGCCCTTAAATGGAGGAAAATTTTTATTTATTTCACACCTTTATAGGATATATGTTCCTTCATTTGGTAGCGGAGCCTTCGTTGAATCTTTGATTGTATGATTTGTTAATTATGATTAACCGCATGAAATTAGCTATTCTTGATTATAAATCATGTGTTTTTGGTATTTTTATATTTTATAAAATTGAATTTTGTGGCAAAATCGGTGGGGGCACGTGAGGCCGACGTTGGACGACGATGCTTGTATGTGCGATAGCCTCACCGACCGATTGCGCCTTAAGCAAGCCGGGCGTGGGTGCGAGCTAGGTTGCTGGCCACTAGCTAGGTTGCCTTATGCTAGGTTTCGGCCGCGAACATGCATGCATGAGCACGCCAAGCCAAGGGTTTGGGCACTTTGAGGCCCAAGGCCTAAAAAGGTTTTAAAATTAAAATTTAGGAAAATTTTGATAAATTTATAAAATGACCAAAATCATAGATTTATAATTATTTTAGGAATAAAATGTGTTTCATTAGTATGCCATGTATCGATATGATTGAAGCATGGGTGAATATTATGGATGAGTCGACCTAGTTTTATGAGTGAATGCTTGTAATTTTTTGGATAAATTAGACTCGCGTGTCCCGCCTATCTATTATTCTATTGTATTTCTCTTCTTATCTCATTCTCATCAAATGTAACTTGAGGTTTTTTATTTGAAATGAATGTAAAAGTAGAAGATAGGAATTAGAATAGATACAAGGAGAAGACGCCAAGGAATTTGTAATAATTTTTCACCTAGGAATTATCCCACTAGTCTCCTTATGGCTTAAGGGGGTTAGTACTAGAAATCCATTACCATTCACCGAGTCCTTGAGTCATGGATGAGATGTATTTATGTTATGAGATCAATATTAGTATGCATGTTAGGAATAATATGATTATTATTTAGTATGCATGTTAGGACATGATCGACCATATTAAATCCTTTAAATAAAATATTAAGTTAATTGCTTTTCAACGTTATAAGGCGAGAACTCTTTTGGTCGTTGTTGTTTTGTTGAGATAACTCAACGTCACTTTTTCCTCGAGGGAAACAAATCATGGGCTATCCGATGTCCTCGAAAGTTAGGTCTAACTTAAATGAGTTGTTAGGTTTATTGAGATAACTAAAAGTCCGATAAACTTGTAAGTAAGGGTTGGTATTCACATAAGATATAGTAGGACAATGAGTTGTCATACCAATAAAAGAAGAAATTACATTAGATGTAATTGGTAAGGAGTTACCTACCTAATCCTTCATGTATGATTTGTTAAGACAACTCAAAGCTAATGCATGTTAGAGGATGAGATCCTAACCTACTAAGAAAACAAATCGAAAAGTTTTTTCGAGTCATATATTGAAGGTTATAGAACTTGGAGAAAATAGTGAGAGCGAACATAGATTTTACTTTTTTAATTTATGCTTTGTTTTATTTTATTTTATGTAATTTAATTAACCAAATTGTATCTTTTTCTATTCTATCAAGTTTGCTACATAATATGATTGGCAATACATCGGTGAGATTGATTATAAATTGAAGGAATGCCTTAAATGGCATAAACTTCCTTGATTGAAAATTCAATAAGAGGAATGTGCTCCAACATGGAAAAATGCTCTATGCAATAGACGTTAAGGAGTACCATGAAGGGGTGCAAGAGAATAGTTCTCAAAGCACCTCAAGTATTCATGTTATTGAAGTAATTTTTTCTACTTCTAGTCCAATATCATGGGTATTTGATACTTGGATGTGGTGCACATTTGCATAAATTTAAGAGGAATAAAAGAGGCTAGAAAGATTACTTCGATGAGGTTAACTTGTGCATGGGTAATGGTTCAAGAGTTGTGCCATTAACAATAGGCACCTATGAGTTAGCACTCCCTCCTAGACCGGTGCTTATACGTAGAAACTCCTATTATATTCTTAGTATATCTACGAATATCATTTCCATTTCATGTTTGGACTAAGATGGTTTTTAGTTTTTATTTAAGAACAATAGTTGTTCCTTTTATAAAAATGATGTTTTTATATGGAAGTGCTGATGTGAATAACGGTTTATATGTTTTAAACATAGACACACCTGTGTATAAAATAAATGTAAAAAGACTCAAAA